ATCAAAAAAAAAGAAAAAAAAAAAAAAGAGAGAAAAAAAACGAGAGAAAAAGCACACAATCTAATTTTATTACGAATATCCTGTTAATTTCACAGATAATCCCGTTTTCTAAATAAACTCGATCTCATCAAAACGTGAACAGATTATCCAAACAAGAAAATAAAAAAGAAAGAAAGAAAGAAAGAAAGGTAAATTACAAAGAAAAGAAAGTTAGAAGAAAAGCTATTTTTAGCCCAGGAGGCGCCCCCTCTTCCATCAGAAGTGACAAGAGATCTTCATGAAGGATTTTGTCTTTCAAGAAAGGGAATTCGCTTCGGGAAAATACGACGAGCAAATACGAGGTCAGTCCTATGACCTTCTGACCTTTCCTTCCCTGCTGTGTTGGAGGACGGGTTTTCCATTGTTTATTTGTTTTCTTTGTTTTTTTTTATGTTTTTGTGTTCTTTTTTTGGTATTTTGGTTCTAGGCTGTAGGTCGAGATAAACATTTTAAGAACAGACTTCCATTTTTCAATATGGACGACGAAAAAATACAGTGTAAATATATATATATGTATTTTTTTCCTCCTCCTGTCTTTCTATTTTATCTTCCTTTTACTTTTGTTTCACTCTGAGGATTTATGAGTCTAAGCGCATGAACGTAAAAATATTGAGGACACAAACTACACCTGAATGCGTATTATATATACCACATGCCTAAACACCGTAAATAGATACTTAAACATACCACACGCATAAACACCAAGTTACCGTGCCTTCAATTTCACATACCACATACCTAAACACCACATATACATACCTAAACATACCACATATCTAAATACCACATATGCATACCTTAACATACCACATACCGTGCCTTCAAGTCCAAGGTGCATTACCAAGTTAGTTTGAGAATCGCTGCTTCGGAAAATAGGATTAAAAAAAGTAATTTGATTTAAATGCTGAACAGTCGGCTTAGAAATAATAGAAATAATAGTTTTTTTTTTTTCAAATGACTAATGAGAGTATATTGCAGAGGGAAAATGTAGTCAATTTGGTAGATTCAAATATAGATTTTTTTCTCTCTCTCTCCAATTTTCAGTTTATGTAAATATAATAAACTCGTATATACAAACAGAAAAATGAAAAAAAAAACAGGTACAAAGGCTCAGAGTAAATTAATCTGGAGCGTATACAGACATATACGCACATCTATATATATGTTTTTTTTTTTTTTTTTTATCTATCTGCGTATTTATCTATTTGAATAGATTGTTAGATGTGTGTGTGTGTGTGTGTGTGTGTGTGTGTGTGTGTGTGTGTGTGTGTGTGTGTGTGTGTGTGTGTGTGTGTGTGTGTGTGTGTGTGTCTGTATGTGTGTGTGATGATTTCGTAGTGTGAATGACCAAACGAGGCAGATAATACAGGTTGTTGATTTGCTTTGTATTATGCATTATACATTTACGGTATAATGGAGCTCCTTGAATAAATTATAGAAAATCCTTCACATTGCAAGCGCATATATATATGTATATATATATATATATATATATATATATATATATATATATGTGTGTGTGTGTGTGTGTGTGTGTGTGTGTGTGTGTGTGTGTGTGTGTGTGTGTGTGTTTGTGTGTGTGTGTGTGTGTGTGTGTATGAATGTCCACATATATATATATATATATATATATATATATATATATATATATATATATATATATATATATATGTATATATATATATATATATATATATATATATATATATATATATATATATATATATGTGTGTATATATATATATGTGTCTATATATATATATATATATATATATATATATATATATATATATATATATTATACATATATAATCATTTACTTTCCAAGAGTTTTGTTTTGTCCTCTTCAGTATTATTTCAGAAGAAAAAAATACGGTAAGTGAAAGTTAACTAGAGAAAATAAACACACACACACACACACACACACACACACACACACACACACACACACACACACACACACACACACACACGCACGCACGCACACTCACAGATCTTCGTCCCCCACTAAATCTTCATCTCTATGTCCGCCTGTCCTCCTCCAAGCCGAAGCCTCCTTGACAAATGGGGATGGGAGGAGACCGAGGAAGGAGGGGGGGGAGGGGGGGAACCCTACCAGATGGGAGATTTCCCCCCGGTATTATAAACTACCCAGGGGGGTCACCGCTGATGGATTTCCAGTACCGGGAAAGACGTATTGGTTCTAAGGTACACCAAAAAAAAAATAATAATAATAAAAAAAAATAAAACGAGAGAAAGGAATGGGTCTTCGTAAACCCTTACATCTTGGGCTAGATTGATTTTTTTTTTCTTTTAGTTTTTCTCCTCAGGGGTCGCCAAAGTGGAATGATCCGCATCATAGGTTGTTTTTACAGCCGGATGCCCTTCCTGCCGCCAACCCTCCCCATTCATCCGTGCTTGGGACCGGCACGGGACATTCCACTAGATTCTGGACTCCCATATCTGTGGGAAATGGAGGTGAAGTTCCTTGCCCAGAGGAACAACGCGCCGGTGAGTCTCACTCTCGAACTCAGATTGTCATAAACAGTCTTTGAGTCCGATGCTCTAGTTGGTATAGATTAACTTGCCATTAGCGGCGAATACCTTGAGGGATTAAGATGTTAAAATATTCAAAACGATTAAAAAATCTATCAACAAACAATGTCTCATATAAAAAAGATTAACACTTAATATTACATAACGAATCAAACCAAGAATGTCATGCTGTAAAAGAAAGAAAAAATAGTGCTGACTTCCCACGTGTTTTACAAGCGCGATGATCCTTGTTACTACGAAACAGAGGTCCAGGCGGATGGGCGAGGCTGATGCACGCTACGCCCCTTTACTTAGCAACAAATCCCTGTGATCCTCTCTATCACGGGCGCGAGGAAGGCTTGATCAAGGCCCGATAAGCCTGGGGATAGAGATAGAATGGTGGAAGATGGGGGGAGGGAGGGGGTGGAAAGGGGAGGGGGAGGGAGGGGGTGGAAAAGGGAGGGGAGGGGGGAAGGGGGAGATCCGGAAAGCCAATGGTATCATGAAATTCCAGTTCCAGGTCTGAAGAATGAGGATGGATATCTACGCAATACAATTCTTGTATTGTGAAGATATTCATTCTCATTCATGTGTTTTCTACATTTGTCGCGATAAATACGGTTCATTTCATGAGATTGTTGTTAGATAAAATGAATCTATGTTTTTTTCCTAGTTAAAATTCATTTTGAAAACATTTTTAAAGGGACTCACATTGTTTATAAAGACGATATGAAAGATGAAAGCGGTAAATAATAGCTCTTCAATTTTTCGTTTCTCTCTTTCTTTTCTTTTTTGGAAGTGAAAACACACTTGACAGATTTGTGATAAAATAGGTTTATAGGATGGCGATGATAACTGATAACTACTAAAGAGGTGAAATTACAAATTTAAGACAGAGAGACACTAATCGGACTCATGACAACTCGTCCCTCGATTTCTCTCCACGTGACCTTGACCTTGACCCAAATGACCGGAAAGCTCTTTTCGAACGGAAGCTCAGCCTCTTCAAGTGCTCAGTAAGGGTCGTAGTAAAGCTTCTTGGGAGGGTGCCAAGTGGTAAATAGTGGAACGTTAATATATTTCGAAATTTAGATTGGAATGGGAATGGCGGTGTTTACGAGTGATTCGCCAACGCACTTCCAAATTTAGAGTAAGTGGGAATGACTGGAATGGTATTAAAAGTGACTGGAATGACGTAGGGACTGATTGAAATGACAATGGGAATGACGAAAGCAACTGGAATTGTTCATCATGAGCTAGACTGGAAAACCAACGACAGTGCTTAATACTGAAACGCCAAATTTAGAATTGGAATGGAAACGACTGGAATAACTTTGGTAATAACTGGAATAAGCCTGGGGATAGAGATAGAATGGGGGAAGGTGGGGGAGGGAGGGGGTGGAAAGGGGAGGGGGAGGGAGGGGGTGGAAAGGGGAGGGGGAGGGAGGGGGTGGAAAGGGGAGGGGGAGGGAGGGGGTGGAAAGGGGAGGGGGAGGGAGGGGGTGGAAAGGGGAGGGGGAGGGAGGGGGTGGAAAGGGGAGGGGGAGGGAGGGGGTGGAAAGGGGAGGGGGAGGGAGGGGGTGGAAAGGGGAGGGGGAGGGAGGGGGTGGAAAGGGGAGGGGGAGGGAGGGGGTGGAAAGGGGAGGGGGAGGGAGGGGGTGGAAAGGGGAGGGGGAGGGAGGGGGTGGAAAGGGGAGGGGGAGGGAGGGGGTGGAAAGGGGAGGGGGAGGGAGGGGGTGGAAAGGGGAGGGGGAGGGAGGGGGTGGAAAGGGGAGGGGGAGGGAGGGGGTGGAAAGGGGAGGGGGAGGGAGGGGGTGGAAAGGGGAGGGGGAGGGAGGGGGTGGAAAGGGGAGGGGGAGGGAGGGGGTGGAAAGGGGAGGGGGAGGGAGGGGGTGGAAAGGGGAGGGGGAGGGAGGGGGTGGAAAGGGGAGGGGGAGGGAGGGGGTGGAAAGGGGAGGGGGAGGGAGGGGGTGGAAAGGGGAGGGGGAGGGAGGGGGTGGAAAGGGGAGGGGGAGGGAGGGGGTGGAAAGGGGAGGGGGAGGGAGGGGGTGGAAAGGGGAGGGGGAGGGAGGGGGTGGAAAGGGGAGGGGGAGGGAGGGGGTGGAAAGGGGAGGGGGAGGGAGGGGGTGGAAAGGGGAGGGGGAGGGAGGGGGTGGAAAGGGGAGGGGGAGGGAGGGGGTGGAAAGGGGAGGGGGAGGGAGGGGGTGGAAAGGGGAGGGGGAGGGAGGGGGTGGAAAGGGGAGGGGGAGGGAGGGGGTGGAAAGGGGAGGGGGAGGGAGGGGGTGGAAAGGGGAGGGGGAGGGAGGGGGTGGAAAGGGGAGGGGGAGGGAGGGGGTGGAAAGGGGAGGGGGAGGGAGGGGGTGGAAAGGGGAGGGGGAGGGAGGGGGTGGAAAGGGGAGGGGGAGGGAGGGGGTGGAAAGGGGAGG